TGCGGCCCAGTGTGCTTTTGCAGGCAGTGCTCTTTCCAAGGGTCCTTCCTCTTCATGGCCTTTCCATCTGCTCTTCCCTCGCAGGACTGGAAGGACCACCAGCATATCTGTGGCCAGTCGGCCACAGTGACGGTGCAGGCTGACGAAGTGCACGTCACGGACAGCGTAATGGAGAAAGTCACCGTCTGAGCACAGCTACCTCATTAACCGTTCATGAACAACGTGGTGCAGCCGGCTGGATCGGCAACCCGGCGTGAACGGTCTGTCCTTTACAAACCCCACTCTTCTCTCTAGCAAACTCATTTTTGAAAGACTTCTTGATACTGTGACAGCATTTGCCTACTCCCGATCCTCTTCCAAAACTTGGAATGATACAGAGACTGTGAAAACCTCATGTGGATAAAGCAAACCCTGCGGAACTGCAGCCGAGCAGCTGGAAGCCGCCTTTGGCTTAAGGAAGCTTTGACTTTGCCAGACTGGAACCTCCACCATGTGGATTACAGCGATCTCATCATCTCTCTTGAGATGGATCTAAAGCAGGTGCTGCAATGAGATATGCCAGTGTTCCCTTCTCCCTGTGCCTCCCTACCTCTTGTTTGAAAACAGAAACGAACCTTCATTTGGTTTATTTAATTGCCTTGAAGAAGTCAGTACAAATTCTTAGTTTGCCATTGAAAAGACTTTTTTTTTTTTTTCCTGTGTTCCTTCTGTGCTGGGCAAGTTCGGAACACGTTGGAGCTTCTGCACTTGAGTATAAGTAAAAAATAACATGTTGTTAAATAAAATGGGGTGAAATCATGAGTATGCCCAGCGGTACTGTTTCATTCCCACAGCAGCACTTTAATGTACTGATAAATGCAGCAAGCGGCTGCAGCGTGGCTCTCGGGAGCTGGTGCCGTTGCACGGCAGCTGCAGTTACACGCGCGTGTCTCTGCTCTCCCTCTCCATCGGTGACCGTCTGGGACGCGTCTGCTGAGCAGGGAAGTGCGGTCTCATGTGGTGCGCCTTGGCTGTAGCTCGTAGCAGCTGTCTGGCCAAAATCAGATCTGAGCAAACCCAAAGTGGGAGCATATTAATAAGAGCGCTGTCCTGTCATTGCCTTTTAGTAGCTACTAATTAAACAAGTGGTGAGTACGAGGAAGGGATTTGCTTCATTCACGGCAACAAAATAATTTAATTATTAATGTACTTCTTTAATAATTTAGGCTGATCAAGCCGCCTTTATTCATGTTTGAAGATTAACGCCCCAGGCTGGAGGACTCGCAGTAGACATGCACACCTCTGGTTGGTTGGTTGTTTTTTAAACCTCAGGCATAGCAGCTGTGAGGCGTTACCTGTCCTGTCTGGTTATTTGCTGGGATTTAGTGTCCGTGGGCAAGGAGGATTATTGTTCAGCTTCCACTCCAAGGGGCGTCACCTCTGAATCACAGAGTGACCCAATCCAGCATCATAAATGCTGTCAAAAGGAGAAATTTCTATCCAGAGTTGCAGGACAGTAACAACAGAGAAAAACATGATGGAAAATACTGAAGTCATACACTAGTGGTTTCTGACAAGTCCATTCCTTCCTCTGGGAATCTTAGAAGTCCTGTTCCATTACGCTCCGTGTGTTACAAGGAGATGGAAGCTGGTTTATCACCTCTTAGAGCATTTGCTGCGCTGCTGATGTCTCCCTTCCGGAGTGCCCATCAGCAGGCGGGACCTGTCCACGGAGGGTGGGTGACAGGTCTCCAGCACAGGTTGGTGGCAGCTGATGGATATCGGTTTGGCTGTTTACTGGAAAAGTTATTTCTTCTAACACAGAGCGGCGTGGGGAAGGCAGGCAGCACCGTGGCAGGAGGGACTGCTGCCCATGGAGGGTGAGGAATTGGCATCGGCAGAGGGGAGGCAGCAGCGTGCTGGCCTCTGCCAAAGGAAACTGGTCTCCACAGTAAAGCCAAGCAGGAACTGAAGCAGGATGAGAACAGAAATTACCCATGTACAACTCCCGGGAAGGAAAGAACAGGCAATTCCTTAGGTTCCCAGAGCAAAACGCTCACTCCTCCTGCTTCCCGGAGTAATACTTCAGTATTTGTAATAGTTCTTCTCACACTGTTAAATTATGATTGCCTGTTTTCTAAAGCTTAAAGACAATTAGCTAATTGCAAAGACAATCTTAATTGAGCTTGCAGTAATACAGCTAATTTACAGTGTTTCTTGGCCTCCGTCTATTGCCCATTTACCCATGGAACAGTGCAGAACATTGAACACCTCACGCCGCTGTTGGGCTACACCACCCCTTTGTTTCCAGTGCCCAACCTCAGCAGCACCCTGCAGTAGGCGCCAAGCGCCCGGCACGGCGGCGCCGCCGTGGAGGTCTATGTGCTCCAGACGGTGAGTTGGTTCCTCCCGCTGTCGGCCAGGCAGGCAGCAAGCAGTGCTGCTGCTTCAGTCCGAACCCCTCTTAGCGCTGGTGTCTGCAAGCAGAGGCGCTGTCCGCTGAGAAGACTGCCAAGCCACAGCGTAGTGAATCGGTGGATGAGTTGCTCCTCAAATAAAGGAGGGCGAGACAGCAGCATTAGAATTAGTCTCGCATTAGAATGCAGCGAAGGTTGGCTCTGAAGTGGCACCTTTGGAGCGCTAAAGCTGCACTTTCAATGTCAACCACAGCTTTCAGTTGAATAATATTGCTGTCGCTTCACTCCTTTGGCTCACTTTGTGTTCTCCACAGAGAACCGTCCCTGTACAGCACTGCTGGTTTGAGAACCAGAGCTCTGTGTGGATTCAAGGACAAGTACAGCTACGTGAAGAGGTGAGCTGAGTTACCAGGTACTCGAGCTTGCCGGGTCTCCTGCTTGTGTCGGTGATGGGGCAACAACTTACACAAATGCAAAGTCCTCCACTGTCCTTATTAAATAGCTCATGGCTGAGTGTAGCTGAGCCTTGGTTACTGTCTGACTTGTGACTGTACTGCACCTTTTAAGGGAAAGAATATTTGGAAGAGAGAGGAGCAACTTTCCTAAATGAAAAAATTGTAGATATGACTAATGTGTAATTAAAGCTCTTGCGGAGCTTCCCATCAGAGCCCTGGTGTCTGGGGCGGCTGTGCCCCACCACAGTGGCAAACTACAGAACTCAAAAATTTACAATATGATCACTGGGAATTTTGTATGTTTATTAGTTGATGATAAATTGATGGCGCAATTGTTATTCTTAGTCAACGAAAAGCTTCAGACCTCCCTGCAGTACTTTTTTCCTTTTGTTTCTAAGTAAACATATTACCCCTTGGAAAGCAACAACCCAATACAAAAATCATTACGGAGAAGATTGCTAGTTTGTGCAATAATAATTTTCTTCCCCCCTCAGCCTCAGAGAGCAGCATTAGCTGCTCCCTCTAGCTACCCTCGGTGTCACTGCGCTCAGCATTACCAAAAGGTATACAGGATTTTTTCCTGCAGGCTGGAAATGGTTCCCTGCAGGTATCATACGGCTTGGTAAGGAATTCTGGAGCAATGACACCATTGTGCCTTTGGGTGGGTCAAAATTCCTACTAGGCAGCCACATGCAGCCTTACAGGGACCTTGCGACACTCAGCCTTGCGTGCCCTGCGCACCAGCAGCCTCAGCGTGACCCGTCGCCATTCCCAAGCAGGGAAAATAGAACAATTAGCAAGGCGAGGCGGCTGTTTTGTGCGCTGGTAATGAGCAAGGCGGCTGCGAGCCCTCAGCCCTGCTCAGGTCTCTCATCAGCCCGGCGCAGCGGGTGCCGGGAGGGATGAGCAGTACTTGTCTGTCTAGTGCGTGGTGAAAGGCCATTGCACTTCAAGCCGTGGGGTTACAGAGCGGCGCTACCCCACTGCAATTGCTTTAGATTTCTCCAGGTCTTGACCAAACTTTGGCATTTCTCGGCCAGGGTAAGCCTTCCGGCCCCGAGGGGGTCAGCGATACTGCACGGGGCTCTTTTCTTTGCGCTTGTTTGGTTTTTTTGGTTGTTGTTTTGGGTTTTTTTGTAGGACTTCGGTCTTTGGATTTAAAATTATCGAGGGGAAGGAGGTTGCACGGGTAGTTAGATACACGCTCATCTGGCATGTGAACATCTGGAAATGAGCTTAACAGCCTTTGTTCCTGCCAGACTCCTGTCCATGTTACCTCACAGTAATGGTGGTAAATGCCGCTGCAGCAGGCAGAGTCCATGGCAGGCCCAGAGCCAGCTGAAAGCAGCTCAAGCGGCACACGGGGCCCTGCTCCAGCACAGCCATGCTGTGAGTAAAATGATTCAAAAAGAATATAATTTATGATCCTCATCAGTCTGTGCGAGGATACCGCTCTGCCCAGAGCCACTTCTGAACTGAAGTGGACTGAAGAGGGATGGAGTACTGCACTTGCCCTTTCCTGCACCCCAGGGGGTTTCTCTGCCGGGGCGAAGGAGGCAGCCCGGCTCTGAGACACACAGTGTGTCCTACCATGCATCAGCAGGGCTCGATTTTGCTCTGCACTCATCAGCATGGTTTGTCCCCATGGTTTAAATCATATGGAATGGGTGGAGACGGGCCGCTGCCAGGCTGGGCTGCAGTAAGGGAGGGTTCCTGCAGTAACATGTCTTGAGGCGGCGCTGGGAGGATTCCCCCCGTGCAGGGGTGAGAGCAGGGAATTTGTCTGCCACTCGGGGCCAGAGCAGCTGCAAGCTTCAAAGCTCTCCTGCCTCCCTGGATCATGGCAGGGATGAGGAGTGTTTTACTTCGCTTAGTGCCAGCTACGAGAAGCCCAAACCAGACCAAACACCTAAGTCTAAAGCAAGAGCTATTCTGAGAACCATCCCTGCTGTCCTCTAGTGTCTCTTGCCACTTAGATCAACCACCAAGTGTCACAAAAGTGGCTACACCTGCAGTTTGCACTGGGGACAGTACCCCAGCTGTAGCCACTGGTACTCACCTGTAACTTCTTATCACAAAGAGCTGGGAACAGCATCCTTTAGCACCATCTCTCCTCTTCCCCTCCTCCCCAACAAAGACAGCAGACTTTAGGCAGAAATAGGTCTTTAATGAACTATACAAAAAATAGCCTGGGCGTTCCTTCTCCCCACCAGTCCCGGTGGGCTCAGCAGAAGAGGTGCAAGACTTTGCGGAAGAAGTTCCTGAACTCCGTGTTGAAAACAGTATAAATGATGGGGTTGAGAGCACTGTTGACGTAACCCAGCCAAGTGACAGTGCTGGTGACTTGAGTGGGAATGGTGCAGGACTTGCAGAGAGCCCTGGTAATGTGGACCACAAAAAAAGGAGTCCAGCAGAAGAGGAAAGCACCTGCCAGGAGGACATGAAAGAGAGAAGGTGATGTGAATATTAAAAAAGGGTTTAATTTAAGAAATGCAGCCTGGGCCAAATGAGAAGAGAGACAGCTCAGAGTGCTTAGGGAAAAAGCAGCAGACGATGTGCTGACATGCGGAGCTGGGCTTGCGCCCAGACAAAAAAATTTAGGATGTCTTTCTTGTTCAAAACGTTGCTGAAAAGTCTGAGTTATGTATTGTTTTGGATTTACATTTAAGATACCAGGTTTACCTTTGAAGAAAAGGTTGGATTATTAACACAGTATGTATGTTCTTTCCCAAGCGTGGTGTTTGTTAGCACTGCTCCTTCCTATTGCAAAGGAACACTAAGAGAGGCACTGGATAAACCTCCTCTCACCACTAGAGATGGGTACGGCACGTCTTAAGCCTCAACCAGGCTGTTGCACAGGAACAAGGGGAGGGATGGGTGTTAAAAGGAGTCCACATGTGATGGAGAGGGAGGCTTTTTATCTTCCCCTCACCTCCTCCAGCAAGGAGAAAGCATGGTACTCAGCATGACGGCTCTCACTGCTGCCCAAGCACCCGTGCCTGGGCAGTGTGGCTCCCGGTAGGGCAGTCAGCAAAGTGTGCGTTCCTTTTGCCAGGTTCAAACAAGTCCTGCCAGACCGACCCCTGCTGCAGGACAACGCGGCACGTTTCCCACCCTTCCCCAGCCGTCACCAACTGCTACTCACCGACAACAACAGGCAGCACCCGCATGGCCTTCCGCTCCCGGCCGTTGATCTTGGCCCGCTTCCGCCTGTGTCCTGGGTGTGGGTACTTGAGGTGTGGGTAGGAGACAGTCTGGATCCCATTGTTCATCACACAGTCCCCAGGGTGGTCAGAGCGGGCGTAAGGGTTGCACTCCTCTGGCTCCAGTCCGGTCTGCTCTCGCTCAATGAAGGTTGAGGGGTGATAGAGCTTCCTGTTGGCCCCGTAGATGCTGCCCCTCAGCTTGGATTTCCTGGCTTCTTCCCAACGCTTGAGTCCTTGGAACATGGCGCAGTAGAGCACCAGCATGACAGGGCAAGGGATGAAGAAGGAGCAGATGGAGGAGTACACGATGTAGTTGTCATCCTCCAGCTGACACAAGCTGGGGTCCCGGTTTGGGACGTTGTTGAGGCCAAATATGACTGGGGATGCTACAGCAAAGGCGAATATCCAGGTGGTAGATATAAGGATCAACTGCCGCAGGTCGATTTGTCGCCGGTTGTAGTTCAGTGGGATTGAAACAGCGATAAACCTGCCAATACAGACCCCAGGTGAGTCAGTCCTAGTATGAGTGGTCCCAAAGCTGCTTGCCACTGTCCTTCCCCCCCTGTTAATTTACTGACATGGCCAAGGCCTGGGCTACAACCAGTCTCCCCCCAGAAGAGCACCCAAACGGACAGCTGAGAACCAGCTGGTGCACAACTGTGCTTTCAGCTTGGCCACTGCGAGGGTACTGATGGGACACACAAAGGCGGTGATGGGGGAGGATGGCAGTGCAGAACACCCTCCTGAGGGGGAGCAGGATCCGACCTCCCCACACAGGAGCCTTGCGAGGGCATGTGTGGAAGCAGCTTGATGCCAGGACACAGCGCTCCCTCCTCTGGCACGAGGAGGAGGAAGGCACTTACCGATCCACGCTGATAGCACAGAGGTTGAAGATGGAGGCCGTGCACAGCATCACGTCCATGGTCATCAGGGCATCGCACAGCACCGTGCTGAGGGACCACACGCCTCCCTGGAACTGAAAAGATCGCCAGGGTAAGCAAATGCCATCTCCCACTGCCTTTAAGATGATGCAGAACAACGCTGTGCCTGGGCGCCTCAGCCACTCCTGTTTCCCTCGAAACAAGCGGCCTGCGTCGGGCAGTCCTGCCCATGGCACGCTACTCCCCTCCCAGCAAAGCAGCGGCGCACAGGAATTAGCCCGACGCAAGTGCTCACAGTTTGCCTGGGGCTTTGTGGTTCTGGCCTGGTGGGAGAATTGAGCCCACTGACCATGAGCATCGCCAAGCAAGTTGTACTGGGCAGAGTAATGGCCACAGGGCAGCCCTGGTTAGTGCAGAGTGACAGCCAGCAGGCGCCAAACCCCCACACTCATCAAACTCCCTGCCCCAAAATCTCCTCAGCAACTCAGGGCTGAGCATTTGCTGCACAGCATCACTCTTAGTCAGTCACTGCAGTGACGGAGCATGAAGCTCCTCTTCCATTTTTCATGTCCAAACTGCTCAACGTCCTGTTTGCAGACGCCGTGACTAGTTTCTGTGTGTTACACAACTGTTTCATTTGGTCACGCTAAGCACAAGGCCAGCCTCTTCAGACTGTGTTCAACCTACTCAGGTGTAATCTCTCGTTCACTCTCTATACAATTGCAGGCACTCAGGGCAAAGCAGAAGTGCTGCCAGCGAGAGGACGTGACCAGATGTGTGTCATTGGTCTGTATTACTTGGACGTGCTGACCCTGCTATACAAAAGATACCAGTTAAAAATCTACACTATTGCATCCCAAATACTACTCAGAAAAAAAACCAAACCAAACCACCAAAGCCAGAAAATGCCGACGGGTTTACGGTTTGTCAATACCAGCTTATGGAACAGGAACATTTGCTCAGCAGTGTGCTGTGAACCCGGCTGTTGGAAAATGGGAATGGAAGGAAAAGCTCAAGGAGCACAGAAATAAGTGAGGATTCATTAAACCCTTCTTCGCACATGGCACCAAACACTTGGCCAGACCCTTGTGCATCCAACGCTGCTGCACTGAATTCAGCTTCCTTTCCTGGCACCAGGACAACTGCCTCTAGAACGATACCACAAACAGAATTTTTATAAAAATTCTACTTTTAGCGCAAGAGATGGTGCCTTTTTGTTTTTCCCTGACAATAAAAGAGGGCTCAAAACCCCACTCAGCTCAAGCTGACCCTCTCCGTCTGACCACAGAAGCTTGTGGTCACCCCCTAAACAGGCCTACGACAGAATTCAAGGAGCTGAGCTGTTGCACAAAGCACCACCGGCTCGCGGGAACGCCTCTGCCCAGGGCCAGGAGCCCCTCAGCTCCCGCTCCTGTCCCCTCCCGGCAGCCCCGTTTGCTCCAGCCTCACCCAACGGCCCAGTGCTGCGTCCCGGGGGAGAAGAGCCACACCGGTGTCACCAAACCACTGCCAGGTAGGGTCAGAGCACAGCCACAGAGCTCAGCCCCGTTGCAAAGTCCCATACACACAGAACATGTATATATTCTTTATATATTATATAGAATAAACACATGTATAAAATTATATAGTATACATATATAATAATACTAATAAGCTATATACTATATATTGCTGTAATATAAGATATAGAATATAGTAAACATATATATATGTTGTGCATAAATGGGGCTTTGAAATGTTTTTCTATAGTATGTATTATATATCAATGCAATATGTAACATTTTGTACATTATGTATAACTTATCCATATATTTCTATATAATATGCTATATATAATATATGTATATTTATAAATTAGATTTAAAGTTATTACATTTATTATTAAAAATTAGATTGTATCCAAATAAACATAAATATAGAATCCCCCTGGGACTTTGCAAAATATCAAACACTATATATACTCTTACTTTTATAAAGATACATATTTTATATATACTAAATACTACTAGAATATATATTGCTACATGTAATATATATGATTTACAATATATTTTTATCTATAATGTGCTAGATTAAAATTATTTTTATATATATTTATATCTAAGTCCCAGAAACTTTCTTCTATTTTATATACATGTATTTTTATCCATATTATTTATCAATGTATTAATATTATGTATTATACCATGCATTAATATATAACAATATAATATAGAACATACATAAATAATTTCTATGTTATTTATGCTACATTATGGTAATATGTAGTAAAATACATAAGCCATATGTAATATATTATTATATACTGTGTATTCATGTTTACGGAATAGCTGTCATACACACACAGGTGAAGCTGCTCAGAGGCCGTGCGGCTGTGCCCAGCCTGGGATGTCCCCAACGCATCGCAGGAGTGCGGGCAGAGCTGTCCCCAGTGGCTGCACTGATCCCCCGCCACGACCCGGCTGCGGAGCATGACCCCTGCCACCCCCTCCTGCTTCAGCTCCCTAACAACCGCTTTGGTACAGAAATCCACTGACCAGCCGGGGAGGCAGTTGTTAAGAAATGAGAGCGGGGAGCCAAAAAAAGCAATTCAGCAACTCAGGAGAGTGAGCAAAATGCCTGGGACCCGCGTGGGGACAGCGGAGGAGTTCCCAAGGGTGCAGAGAGGAGTTCGACCCACATGCCAGTGCAAAGTGAGGAGCGATGGGATGAAGGTGAGACAAGAAATAATTAGAACGTTTCTGTATTTGCTTCTAAACCAGGAGAAACAGGAAAAAGGGATTTAGTTTAGTCTAACCCAAAAGAAAGGCACCCAGGGAAGCAGGTGTCACCTCCCAGCACCTACACGTGGGTAACATGACCGAGGCTGAAGAGCAAATGAGGCACATCTTCGGTGCCGCGCATGGAGGTGGCCAGCCGGGGCACTCCAGGGGTGAGCCGGGCACCTCCATGGCTGCACCACAGCCGCTCTCCAGACCCCACACTGCCCTACAGCAACAGTCGGCCGGTGCTCACACAGCCTCACTGCGCTGCCCTGGTGCGTGGTCCAGGGAGCGGGTACAGATTTGTCCATGAACGGATGCTAAACAGCGGGGTCTGGTTTTATTCATCCCAGCACAAAAATGTTGGGTAACACTCGCCATGTAACGCTGGGCAGGTGTAGAAAGCCCTGCCAGGAACAGGGGCAGGCAGCTCTGCATGGATTAATATCAGGCAGTAATGATGTCATGCATGGGATTATGATTAGAGGAGCTGTAAAGCCAAAGTAGACTGAAGAAACTGGCTATTTTTATATAGCCATCTCCTTGAGAGGTAGCCCGAACCTCCAGGGGAGGGCTGGACTCCGACCGGAATGCTTCATTCAGCCTTTAGCACAGATCAGTCACCCCAAACTGAATTTGGGATCCAAATCGGAAAAAAAACCTTCAAATTTTTGCCAAGCTTACTGGGATCTTGACAGGTTCAGTTCAGATTTTGAGACGGAAAATTTGATTCTGGGCTACAGTTTTCAAAACCCATTTGTGATTTTAGGGAATTAATTGATTCTGAAAAGGACAAGAGCTCTCAGGCTGCAGCACCTTCAGAGGACACAGTCTTTGCTGTGAGATTCAAGTTGGGTACTCAGAAAATGCTACAAACTCTTCCCTTTCCCCACCAACCCCCAAGACTCTGACTCTAGGGAAAGTGCTGGGAGAGGACTTGCCATTATACCATGTTTTTGCCCACCCACCATAACAAAATGTGCCAAGAACCTCTCTGATGGGTGAGTGACTTTGGATTAGAGGCATAGCTGGCTTTGCTGGGTCATATGATTAAGTGGTACCTAATTACAGGAGGTTGCAGAAGATTAGCCCATCAAGGTACAACAGTGTAAAGCTTTAGGGATCATAAACAGCTCAAGCTGCCTTTAAGAAGTGCTCCAGAGCAACTCCACTTCCATCGGCTTTTTTGCATTCTCTGCTTTTTCAGTGCAAGGCCCCTTGTTTTCCTCCAGTGACGCGCGACCAGTGGTGCTGGTGCTGAGGACATAGACAGCTATCGCTGCACAGCAAAACAGATGCTCTCCAGGTAAACCATCTCCCTTAACAAAATAAAACAAAGCTGCAAATATAACCGCGCAAGCCAGCCTACCTGCTACCACTTTTTTAAGGCTGATGATCTGCTCTGCACAGCTCTGGCAAGAGCATAGTCTGAGCCTTCAATAGGTGAGGTTGGGCATGTTAACCACCACGCTCAAAACCTCCAGGCATCACCTCTTGGAAGAAGATAGAAAACTCGGTGTGTGTGGCAGGGAGGGTCACGCTCTGCCCTTCGCTCAGTGCTCCACGGCAGACAAGGAGGCCTTATATGAAGGTGATAATGATTGCCGCTCTGGCCACAAGCCAGACCCGTTCCAAAGCGATATTCCAGGTGCAGACTGGCTGCTTTGTTTAACCGACCAAGGTTGGGAACGCCAGTAAATTTACATGCAGTCACTGTGGTCTCTTACAAGATACCAGTATCTCACTACAAACGGCATTTGCGTTTGGGATCAACCACTATGTGCAAAGGAGGAACAAATCTGACTGCTTCCTACAAAGAACACAAAGAGGTTATTGAAAAGATTTTATAGGCTGGTGGATGGTGGGAGACAGATGTGACTTCTCAAACACCCTTTCAGGCTGCCTTCCTCGTCAGGTCATTTTGATGTCCTTATTCGTAAGAACAGCTGATTTGACAGAAAAAATCTGCTTTCTCGCAAACATGCATGATGCCAGAAGAGCTCTTACACCGCCAGTGCTCCTGAGGGCATGAGCCAGGACAGGGCCAAAGGTTTTGGTGTCATTTCCTATGATAACAGCTCTTGTCTCAGTCCTGCCACATGCTTCTGCACAGCACCACACGGCAGCTTCGTACCCGCCTCTCTTGCCAGCCCTGCAAACAGGCTCGCTAAGAAGCACAGTGCACAATCGATCCTTTGGTCTTTGGTGGTGATGGCATCTGAAATAAGATACCCAGGCAACAGCAGCCCAAAGGTGAGTTAGGAGATGCCCAGCTGAATTTCCAAACAAGACCTCAGCGAGGCCACAGCTCAAGCACATAGCACGGAGAGACT